ATCATCGAGCAGATCGAGAATGTTGCTGGATGTCACTGGCGAGTCCTCGCTGTCCTGCTGCTGCAGCAGGGGCAGGAAATCCTGCTGGGGCTCCCTCAAGCAGTCCACGCTCTTGATGAAGATGCGACTCTTGGGCAGCGTCTGCTTCGTGGAGGTGCCGCTCACCTCGGGGGCACCCGCACCAGTGCCGCCCAGCAGCGTCACACACTCATCGTCATCCAGCTGGTGGTCCAGACTGAGGTGCACATTGAGGGCATCGCTGCTATAGAAGATGTTCGGGCAGCCTGAAAATCAGATCGGATTGGATCAAGGATGAGCCAAGGGGCATACCATTTGGGCGGTACTCACCGGGACACTGTCTCTGCTGCTCGGCGCTGGTGCCGAAGCAGTTGTTCACGTGCTGGCTGGACTTCACCTGGCACAGGCTGAGGAAGGGGCAGTTGGGGCACCTGAAGAGAATCGGCACCTCCTGAACCATGGCCTTGCCCTCGACGCTGGCGCAGCTGGAGTTGCGTGTGGGTGGCGTGGGCGTCGCATTCAGGCGTTCCTTGGCCGCGGCCTCGGCCAGTTCGGACTTGATCAGCTCCTCGGACTTGATCTCCGCCGTCCTGCGGCGAAAGGCATTGCGGTAGCTCTTCTCGGGCTGAGCCTGCTGCTGCAGGTCCGTGGTGTGGATCTGGACAAAGGGAACCTCCGCGGCTGCCTTGTTCGTTGCGTTGATAGCTCCATTCGGATTGCCGTTGCCCAGCTGGATGGGCAGCCAGATGGCGGAGGAGGATGTGGAGCCGCAGGTCACGATGTCGTCGTCAAAGAAGCTGGTGAAATTGGTGTCCGTCTCCAGGGCGTGCACGGGCGTCGACAGGGACAGCTCCTGGTGCGGATGCTGGTGCTGGTGCTGATGCTGCGCCTGCTGCTGGTGCTGCTGCTGCTGGTGGAGGGACGGGTGCAGCTGGAAGACACACGGCATCGTTTTCTGGCGAGATGAACTCTCTCTGCCTGCGCATGGGGCTCACCTGGTTGCCAATGCCGCTGTAGTAGCCCGAGAAAGCCGCATCGTTCATATTGCTCGCATGGGGGCCTGGTCTAGAGGAGCATTCCGCAATTCCGCATTACAATTTACAATTTACATTACTTTTTGAGGCAATAAAAAAAAACACTGAACAGCTGATCATATATTCGGCGACAGTTGGCAGCGCCACATCGAATGTTTGGTAATGTTTCCAACACCATGTTATTTATATCCCTATTCCGTAAGTATGTTATTGGTATGTAGAAAATGTGTAGTAGTAATGTCATAAAGTCATAAGTTATACCAGCCAATAAAAAGGAGTATTTATATTCCGAAAAATTGATTCTTCAATCGGATTATATTATTGTTTCAGTGGTGAAAGTCTTTTCAAGCTAGTAATATCAAATATAACACCAAAATCCAGGAATCTGATTTAAAACTATGGTATATTTACGGTATATTTTTAAAATGAGAGCGTATATTTTGGTATATTTATGAGGGTCTGACGGTATATTTGATAGATAGTCCCGCGGTCACACTGCTCCTTGCCGCCGAAAAAATCGCAAAATTTTTGTAAAATTTCCATTTATTCGTGTTAATATTAATATAAGAATACAAAATGCCGCGTATTATGATCAAGGGCGGTGTGTGGCGCAACACGGAGGTAAGTGGGAGCCAATTCTCGCAACTCTTTTCACTGTTTTCCACGTTTTCTGGCAGGATGAGATCCTCAAGGCGGCTGTCATGAAATATGGCAAGAACCAATGGAGTCGAATTGCCTCGTTGTTGCACCGCAAGTCGGCCAAGCAGTGCAAGGCCAGGTGGTACGAGTGGCTGGATCCAAGCATCAAGAAAACCGAATGGTCGCGCGAGGAAGACGAAAAGCTACTGCATCTGGCCAAGCTGATGCCCACACAATGGCGCACAATTGCGCCCATTATAGGACGCACTGCGGCCCAGTGCCTGGAGCGTTACGAGTTCTTGCTGTAAGTGCACATATTGCCAAGTATATTTCGTTGCTGACTTGTCTCATTATTTGTCTTATTCAGCGATCAGGCACAGCGCAAGGAGGATGGCGAGGACACAATGGACGACCCGCGCAAACTGAAGCCGGGCGAAATAGATCCCAACCCAGAGACAAAGCCGGCACGGCCCGATCCTAAAGACATGGACGAGGACGAGCTGGAAATGCTGTCCGAGGCTCGGGCCCGTCTGGCCAACACCCAGGGCAAGAAGGCCAAGCGCAAGGCGCGCGAGAAGCAGCTGGAGGAGGCCCGCCGCCTGGCCACGCTCCAGAAGAGGCGCGAGCTGCGCGCAGCTGGCATCGGAAGTGGCAACCGAAAACGCATCAAGGGCATCGACTACAACGCAGAGATCCCCTTCGAAAAGCGGCCGGCGCTTGGATTTTATGACACGGCAGAGGAGCATCTGCAGAAGAACGAGCCGGACTTCAACAAGATGCGGCAGCAGGACCTCGACGGAGAGCTGCGCTCGGAGAAGGAGGAGCGCGAGCGGAAGAAGGACAAGTCGAAGCTCAAGCAGCGCAAGGAGAACGAGGTGCCCACCGCCATGCTGCAGAACATGGAGCCGGAGCGCAAGCGATCCAAGCTGGTGCTGCCCACCCCCCAGATCTCCGACATGGAGCTGCAGCAGGTGGTGAAGCTTGGGCGCGCCAGTGAGATGGCAAAGGAGATAGCGGGTGAGAGTGGCATCGAGACGACCGATGCCCTCTTGGCGGACTACTCCATCACACCGCAGGTGGCTGCCACGCCCAGGACTCCGGCCCCCTATACGGACCGCATCATGCAGGAGGCCCAGAACATGATGGCCCTCACCCACACGGAGACCCCGCTCAAAGGTGGCCTCAACACGCCTCTTCACGAATCCGACTTTTCCGGCGTCCTGCCCAAGGCTGCCTCCATTGCCACCCCCAACACGGTCATTGCCACGCCCTTCCGCACTCAACGCGAGGGCGGAGGGGCTGCCACACCAGGTAGCTTCCTCACCCCATCCTCGGGGGCCCTGGTGCCGGTGAAGCCTGGAGCCCCAGGGGTCCCCACACCGGCCTATGTCCGGGATAAGCTGAGCATCAACCCCGAGGAGAGCATGGGCGTGACCGAGACGCCGGCTCTCTTCAAGAACTACCAGAAGCAACTGAAGTCCACCCTGCGGGAGGGGCTCTCCACGCTGCCGACTCCGCGCAACGACTACGAGATAGTGGTGCCCGAGCAGGAGGACAGCGAGGCGATGGACACTAGCACAGAGCCCGCCATCGAGGACCAGGCCGATGTCGATGCTCGCCTTCTGGCCGAGCAGGAGGCGAAGCGAAAGCGCGAGCTCGAGAAGCGCTCCCAGGTGATCCAGCGCAGCCTGCCACGACCTACAGAGGTCAACACGAAGATCCTGCGACCGCAGTCCGAGAAGCAGAACCTCACCGAGCAACAGCAGGCCGAGGAGCTGATCAAGCACGAGATGATCACCATGCAGCGTATGTAGAGCGTCTCCTTGGAATCATACGCAGACGGTTTTATCTTGTTTCTCTTTCCAGTGTACGACTCTGTCAGGGATCCTGTGCCGGGACAGTCGCAGCACAAGTTGGAGCAGCTGCAGAGCTACTTTAAGGCGAACCCCTACGAGGAGATCTCGCAGCAGGAGCTGGCCAAGGCCAAGAAAATGCTCTGCGAAGAGATGGAGGTGGTCAAGGAGCGCATGGCACACGGCGAGCTGCCCCTGAATGTATACGCCCAGGTGTGGCAAGAGTGCCTGGGACAGGTGCTCTACCTGCCCTCCCAGCACCGCTACACGCGCGCCAGTCTGGCGAGTAAGAAGGATCGTCTGGAGTCGGCGGAGAAGCGGCTCGAACAGAACCGTCGCCACATGGGCAAGGAGGCCAAGCGCTGCGGCAAGATCGAGAAGAAGCTGAAGATCCTAACTGGCGGCTATCAGGCCCGTGCCCAGGTGCTCATCAAGCAGCTGCACGACACCTACTCCCAGATTGACCTGAACTCCATTTCACTGTCGACATTCCGCTTCCTCGGCGAGCAGGAGGCCATTGCCGTTCCGCGGCGCCTCGAATCGCTGCAGGACGATGTGCGACGACAAATGGACCGAGAAAAGGAGCTGCAGCAGAAGTACGCCAGCCTGATCGAGGAGCGTGATGCGCTCTACAACGAGATCGAGCAGATCACCGGAGTGAGGCCCACGGCACAACAGCTCCTGGGCCCCGACCATCAACCGGAGATCCAGGCCTAAGCTCAGAAGGTAAACAAATGGAAAGTCGTATCTAATTTTGTTTTTTTACTCTCAAATACAACCCCTGTGTGTGTGTGTGTGTGGGACCCAATTCTTTGGCTTAGCGACCGTATTTCTGGTAAACCCATTCCTTGTTGTCCAGAGGGCACACGAGGCGCGTCTTCAGCCAGCGAGAGATGCAGTGGTAGTGGAAGGCGTGATTGCACTCGCCCCAGGCCACGGTGCACAGGTCCTTGTTGGCGTTGGGATCCGCCTGGCACTCGATGCACAGATTCATGATGTGGTTGCGGCAGATCGCGCAGTTGTCCACGGCCACATCCCAGGACCAGAGGGCATAGGCCACCCACTTGTTCACCACGAATCGATAATTCTTTGGCTTCTGTGTGCCGCTGCCGGAGGCCTCGTCGTCGTTGAGCTCCTCCAACTCATGGAAGTCCTCGCTTTTTTCAATTTCATCCACCTGATCGGACATTTTTCAAAATTAATTTCCTTTACTTGTTTCCAAAATGTCTAAAAATTTCAATTGTGTTTCTGTTTTTTTGTATGCCAGAAAAATGTCTGTTTAGCTTCGCCAACGATTCGGAACTGATTGAGCAATTGTGTGTAACCGACTCAAATATGGCCTACTAGCACTTTACACTTTCATTGAAAAAAGGACTGAAAAACTAAAAGAGAGTCTCGCCTATAACTAACCGATTTTCTAAAAGATATACATTCTTCTGTCGTATAAAATTATATGTGCAGTGCTGAGTGTCCCAACCCAAACATTTAATTAAATTGAAACTACATTTAAATTGGCTCGGACACGCTGGCGTGGGTAAAATCTATCTCAATGTTGTCCATGTTCAAAGCCACCTTTGGTGACTGGAGACCCTTGCCGAATCGCAGCCCGGCCTGTGTCTCTACGTCCTGGATGCATACACGATAATCGCACAGCTCGCCAACTGATTCGGTCTCTTCATTGCGTAGGATAAAAGCCTCCATAGAAGGCTCTTCGTCTGACTGCTCCACGATCAACACCTTGAAGTAGTGCGACGGCACAGGTATCGCATTATTTCCACATTCTATGTACTCCTGCCAATACTGCTCGCGGCCATTGGTTTTAGGCATGAAAATGGGACCCGTGTAGGCATACACAGATCCGCACTCCTGCACCAGCAACGACACATAACGCTCCAGCTCCTGCCACATCGGATGCTTGAAGACCGTGCCAATTGCTGCTGAGTTGGCCTTTCGCGGCACAAACACATCTTCGTATCGGGAGAGCTGCTGGTCCTCGACCGGCAGCGAGTCGGCGCAAAAATGCTCGCACAGCCACGAGGCGCTGTTTGTTGCGCTGCCTCGCGACATTATGTAGTCGCGGTGCACCAGCAAGTTTGCGGAGCTAGGTAAACCGTATTTGAGCAAATCGAGAATGTTCGCACCGGGCTGCTCCAACGGCTTCGGTACGAAATATTTAAATAAAGTTGACATCAGCAGCTGGCTTATCTTGTCCTTCAGCCCGAGCGGGCGACTCCACAGTCGCGCCTCGTGATCAGTGGGGAAGGTGGACAGCTGTTGAGGGTGCAGGTTGCTGATCACTTCACTTCACTTCACTTACCACAGGATACAGCTTCTGGCGAATGTTATACAAATACGGATCCCGGTTGATCGCTTCGTATAGATTCTTGATAGATATCTGCTGCTGCATGAAAGCACCGAACACAAAGCCCGTGGTTCCAAAGAAAACGTACTTGGCAATATTACGTGGTTCTGTCATGGGGTTTGTGTTATAATTGTTAACCAATTAATAATAATATTAATATTAATTTCAAAAGCTCTTATTAACCGTCGAATATTTCCGAAAATATTTAATTTTCTAACTGTATTTCTAGATGAAGGTTGTATTGGATTATGCGATGGAATATATTGAAAAAGCAAGGACTACTATGCAGAAAAAGCAAGGACTACTTTGGAGAAAACTGTGCCACTACAAATCTGGAGTACGAGTTCTCTATCAAAGTGTCCGATTTCCCATCTGACAGTGGGCAGGTTAAGATTAACATAACATTTCTATGTAAGATGTATTTTGCCGATTTGTATACCAATAAAAAAATTAGCATACTTTTGCGGTGGGTATATTAATGTTTGAAGTATCTTTTGGGGGCTGGGTTGATTGTGAAAAGTGCTGCATACTTCCAGGCGGGCGAGATCACTTTTACAAAATAGCTCAAAGCAGCCATATCCTGCAGTCCTTGAGGTCCTTGGTGGATTCAAACGATACAGGAGAGTCTCCCTCTCACGAGGAGGCGTGGCATGTCCTGATCCGATAGGAAACGGCCGAGTTAGGGCGTTGTGTGGTTTTTAAGCCAAAAACATCCTTAAAATGGCATTATCCTTAATGTCCTTCCATCCGTAGTGATCGTACGCGATCGGAAATATTTTTCCGATCACGAGGAAGTGTGGCATGTCCTGATCCGACAGGAAACGGCCGAGTTAGGGCGTTGTGTGGTTTTTAAGCCAAAAACATCCTTAAAATGGCATTATCCTTAATGTCCTTCCATCCGAAGTGATCGTAAGCGATCGGATATATTGTTCCGATCACGAAGAGGTATGGCATGTTCTGATCCGACAGGAAACAGGCGAGTTATAGCGTTATATGAATTCTATACAAAAACATCCTTAAAATGGCATTATCCTTAATTTCCTTACATCCGAAGTGATCGTAAACGATCGGAAATATTGTTCCGCTCACGAGGAGGTGCGGCATGTCCCGATCGGCCAACAAATAAAGGATCAAACAACAAAACAAATCTGCCCTGTTTTTGTTGTCATCCGATGTTGTACATCGAACATTTTCTTGTTGTACAACAACCACTTCGTTTGCACAGGGGCGCTCCCAATTTCACAACGGCCACTTCTGGGACTAAAATAACGTAGTTCGAGAAATGACCGCTTAGATTTGGGTCGCCACTGTGTAAAAAAAAATCTGGAAAATGCTTCGCTCAAATGTAAATTTTCAGACCGAGTACCAGGCCAACAGAAATCAGCAGAAAGTATGTGGTTTTTACTTTTTGCACTGTGTCAAAAGCTGGAGGCTATAAAACCCAAATTAATTTTTTCAGTCACTAAGTAACTAAAAGTATGCTACAAGATTTTAAATTATGAAATTGCACACCAAAAACAGATTTTATTGTTTTCTCCTTTGCTTATGGGCCAATCAGGATGTGTCATACCTTTTCGCAATCAGGACAATTTCCCCGATCCTTTTCAATCAGTTTCGCTTCAAGGACGTCAAGGATTAAGGTTATAATTTCTATATCGCCATTTCTCAACCGATTTAGACGTGATACGAGTCATCGTGAGCGGAGGAATCTTCCGCATCAAATGAATCTATCAACGACCACAAGGACTGCAGGATGTGTCTGTTTTCAGTTATGTTGTAATCAAAATCCATGCAAGCGTGCACCCCAAAAGTATGTCACTCTACAAAATAAATAATAAATCCACCCACCCCAAAAGTATGCCATGGTATCCCTCCACCGAAAGAATAACTTATACCTCTTTTAATTACATATTTTATTTAATTGTTGATGTGTTGTTTTACCATAAATACATTTATTGATTTGGTGCTAAAATACTAACAGTTTTCTTCTCTTTTTTTGTCTATCATATACATATATATCTTTTTATATATTTTATCTGTTTCTGTTCCTGGTTGCGGTAGCGTAGTGTAAATAAATTTGCCATCCACATCGCTTTGTTTGTATACGTCGATAGGTAGTTGGTTCACTTCGTTCACCATCTTGTGGTGTTGCTTTGTAAAATTTAGAATTGTTTTCCATGCATCACTTGCAGCATGTGGTATAGAGAGGAATATACATATATGTATACGGTTTTTCTTGAATATCTTATGTACGGATTTACGGAGTGGATAATACAATATATAGAGACGCGATCGAGTCGGTAATAATAATAATGATATACAATCAGTTTTAATCATATGTCTACGGGTACTAACAGTAAGATAGATTTACGTGTAGGTGTAGGTTGGTGTAGTCGGGGCATGTAAAGCGGAAGATTGTAGATTGAGTAAATAGATAGATTGTCCAACTCCAACTTTGCGGGGATGCAGTGTACTTCAATCCTAGTCCCTAGTCATCATCGTCGTGGATAGCCGCACTGCTGCGCGACATCTTCATGTAGGCGGCACAAATGCATTCGCACACAAATCGATATTGACTCTGAAATGAAAGCAGCACATTAGCAATACACTTTGAGACGAGTCAATCTGCACTCTCTTGATGCACTTACCACATTCTGGACCATGCAGGCACGCTGATCGCGCATGGTGCGCACAATGTCCAGGGGATAGACGGGCTCACGGGACTCCATCAGGGCCAGCGCCGTGTCCATCAGTATAAGCACACCAGTGCGTCCGATGCCCGCTGAGCAGTGGACAATCACAGGGGGATTGGCGGCACTGATGCACCTGCAAAAAAGGATTAGTTCTCGAGGAATCACCTAGCGTATGGACTACTCACTGATGCACACTGGTGGAGACGGGTGTCTCATCCTCTGGGGTGGCTCCATTGCTGGCCGCACACTTGCGCTCCCTCATCAGTCCGCCGTTCTCGTCGTCGCCAGCATCTGCGTCCATCAGTCGCACCTGCTTCAGGCTCTCCTCGATCTCCTGCAGCAGGGTGCGGTTCCTCGCGGCACGCACTCTTTCGGTGAACTCCAGGAAGAGATTGGGGTCGGAGGGAACGCAGTGGTCCGGCCAGGCCAGGTACTGCATGTGATGTATGTGCCGCTGCTCGTGCTTGTCCTTCAGCACAAACTCCCGAAAGACGAAGCTGCCCGTCTCGTCCGGTTTCTCGCTGAGGCAACGCACCGAGAAGCCTTCGGCCAGCTGCAGCTCCTCACCGGTGACGGGCCAGTACTGATGGCACTTCTGGCGCCCCGCCTCCATCACCGTGGTGAGCATTACCAGCAGGTGGCTGCTCTCCTGCTGCACCATGCGCCAGAAATCGGTTGTGGTGCTGGCCAGCGGTCCCTGGGTGGCAATATATCGGTTGACCGCTCCTCCCGGTATCTCCATGTTCACGTAGTTGGCGTTGATGTAGTCGCCGGTCAGGGAGTTCACCAGCGACACTCTCGTGCAGTCATCTGAAATGGAACTCATTCAATTAGGAACAGATCTGCTAGGGATTGCGAAGATTGTGCGGCTTACATGGCGATATGTCGCGGTACCGATTCTTGGCTGCGTTGGCCGCTTTACGTGCTTCGGTGATGGCCAGATCGGGATTCTTGCGATACATGAGCTCGTATTGGGCGAGCAGGGCGCCAGAAGCCAGGCCGTCGCTGAGCAGCAGAAGGCTCTGGGTGAACAGGGCGTCGCCATCGAGCAGGTTCAAGTGCGAGCCGATTTCATCGCTCTCCGGCACATACTGATACAGCGGCTCCTCCTCCATTAGCAGCGGAGCCGAGCGTTGGGGCCGCACTGTGAGCAAGAGCTCGCCGCTGGACTGGTGGCGGCAGTCTCGGATCATGGACACCACCTGCTCGTGCCGCAGACCGTGGACATCGCGGCCATTGATCATGAGCACCTCGTCGCCCTCGCAGACACGTGGCGTACAACGATCCGCGGGCGTGTGCGGCACCACCTTGGACACCTGCACGGGCAGGCTGAGATCCACGCCGCCCTTCACATTGAAGCCGTAGCGACCCTGCTCGTCCGCCAGCAGGCGGATGGTGATCAGATCACTGCCGCTATCGGGCTGGCCCTGGCCCACTGCATCCGCTATGGTGGTGGGCAGCAGCAGGGGACTGTGCTGGCCCGAGCTGTAGGCGGGCGGCATGGGTGAGGGTGCCTCGAAGCGACGGCTGCACTGCTCAATGAATCCGACATCGCTGCAGAGATACAAAAATACAAATTATAATCCAAGCTGCAGGCGGGAGCAGAGCTCACTGGACTCACAGTTGAATGTCGTATTCGTCGCTCTGCTGCTCCCAGGCCTTGCGCGGCATGGAGTCGGCCTCCTTGGAGGTGACCTTGTTGTCATGGGGACGGCTCGTCTTCGTGATGGTCAGAATGGTGGATGCGGACGGTTTGCCATTGTGCTGCGAGGCAGCGCTCTCGGAGCCACCGCTGCCGCCGCTATGCATGAGGGGAGTGCCTCCCGAGGAGCTTGTGCCACCAGCTGCTCCGCCTCCGGCCAGCAGCCTTTTGCTGGGCGATCGCACAAATGCCTTGTGAATGCGGCCGCGCTGTTTGGACTCCTGCACCGCCTGGAGCTCCGTGCGGCCCGAGTAGTAGAACTTGCTGCCGAGGCTGATGTTGAGGAAGCGCGAGAGGCGGTGCGGCCGCTTCAGCCGGAAGAAGCTGTGATGCTCCACGCACGATTTCCACAGGGCCTTGGCGTGCTTGTGGCTAATCATCCCGAATCCCAGCAGCGTGTCGTAGTTCTCGCTGGGCTCGCGTCGCAGCTGAATGAAGAAGTCCTTGCGCTTGAACGACACCTTCACCATCTTGCTCCACGAGAATGTGTTCACCCGAAGCGCATGCTGGAAGACCAGCAGCCCGACAGCCGACACGCCCAGCTGCAGATCCTTGCCGCTCGAGTCGGTGGCCTTGTGCAGATCAATGCCGTACAGTTCCAGCCGCTTGCCATGCTCCAGATAGTTGTACTCGGCATCCGCTGGCAGTTGGCCCCGATGCAGCTTGTGCAGCTCGCTCACCTTCCGCTCTGCCTCTGGTGTTTGCTCTGAGAGCAGCTGCAGTCCATTCAAATATCCCACCTGATGTTCTGCGGCATTGAAGTCGCCCAGCTCGGCTAAAGAAATGCACAAGAAGGATTAGATGAGATCACAGACAAACGGTAAAGGGGAACTCACATTGCACTGT